AATGTAAAAATAACATTAGATAATATACTACTATACATAGTTGTATTTACTAATTTGTTTCATTCATTTCGTTGTTTGAAAATGCTTAAAAAATTCAGTAATTGCCATTACTCGTATGTGTAGTACATGTAGTACATGTATATTATTCACATGATCTGAAAAAAATTTGGGTGGTGAATTTACCCCGGTACTTTTTTTCGCCATGGCTAGGGTTTTAATTTTGACCCGCATTACGTAGTTGTTTACATAATTTTTGTCGGAATTAGTTTTTTTAACCTTTTCATTCCAAAATAAAAATTTAGGCCAACACAATAGTAAAATTAGCCCAGGACCATTTTTAGCTTAGTAAGATTTTGATCATCGTTCTTAGCCAATCAAAATCAAGAATATGCTGTGACAATTTTTTTTCGGCAACTAGGTCCTATCTCAATCTCAAACGAAACCTCGAATTATCAATCTTAGAGCCAAACTGTATACAATAATATATTAACAATTTAAAAAGTTACTAGTTATAGAATGAAATTTAGTTTCCCCCTTTTGTTTTATTAACATTGTAGTTGTTGAATGATTAAATAAAAATAGATTTCTTTTTTTTGTGTGATTTTTTTTAAAAAATACAATTGGACTCATTAATATTACAAGAAAATATAAATACACTTTTATACACTACAAATTACTAAAAGGGCTAATTTTTACCATAAATTTTTTCTACATCAATAAATTCTTCAAACTCTTTATAATCATCACTGACTACATTATTATCACCTTCAATATTTTTTTCTACATCAATGAATTCTTCAAAATCTTCATAGTAATCACTGACTACGTTATTATTACCTTCAATCATATCGAAAGCCTGACCGGTTCCGGGACGTTCCATAGGAGTCAATGGAATTCCGTTAAGCATCATGTCTACAGAGATTAATTGCTTAGAAGGGTCGGTAGTATTAACCATTTGTTTAGGGGAACGAGCTTGATTCACAATCATGCTTCCAGAGCTTACTTGTTTCGATGGGACTGTAGTCTTAAACGCTCGTTTAGAGGAACGAACTTTCTTTGCGTTTGGTTTGAAAGTTCGAAAGGTAGGTAATAATTTATTTTTGCGATACAAGTTCACTTTCTTTGTATAATTTTTTAGAAAATCTTTTAGCTCCTGTGTTCTTTTTTTCCATTCCTTCGATGCTATCTTGGAAACTTCACGGCTGTCACCAGGGTGAATATTTTTATCATGTAATACGTAGTTTACTAGTATACGTAACATAATAAAATCACTAAGCGTTTTATATGTTCCATTTTCGTTTTCAAATGATAGTTCTTCTGGTTCGGGAGCTTTAATATCGTGACCAAGAATTTTAACCATTTGAAATAGTAAGGGGGTAGAGTAAAATCATTGTCGGAAATCAATAACATATTTATAAAATTTACATACATAAGGGCAAAAAAGAATGATGTGTAGGATGTTTTCATTGGTAATTCATTTGGGTGATCCTGTGACATTAATTTAATGTGTTCGATGAAAATTGCCTTTTCGGTTAGCCAATTACGTCTTAAGAGTATGAACATGCTTTTCTGCAAGGTTTGAAACAGTTGTTTACCCATGTTGAGGGGCATGCAATTTTTACTCAGAGAAGTATTTCTAAATAGCAATGATCGGTCATTAGAAATATAGGTTGTTGATAATTTTAAGTTGTAAGCCGAAAAGATTAAAATATAGATTATTTAATAATGCAATAGTATTTATTAAATTATATTATGATAGAAAATTTATAAAATTTTTGGATAGAATTAAAATCGTTGTGAAATTTAAGTGAAATCAAATTTTGCGTAGGTAAGCTTATTATATTTATAAATTTTCTGATCATTTATTTAAGCTTTTGTTCATTCATTTAAGATTTCTATTATATGACAGGAATTTAATAAACAATGAACACAACACGAAAAAACATAATAGGAATATTTTGTTAATTATGACTGAAATTCAGACAGGCATATGCAATTGTTATAATTGACATAAAAGGAAATGTCAATGAAATGTATACAATCGGAATAACATTATTGTTTTATAGTCATATAAAAAGTATTAGTATTCCATTTATGGATTCCATCTTGTCAAAATAAAATGAATTTAATTAACCCATTTAAAGAAATCACAATAACAGCGAATCAGATCTTAGAATTTTTGAATGAAATTGAGTTTATGATAAGGAAAATTTTTCGGCTTTTCCCGTATATTACATCATTATATTGTGATTTTATTAAAGTAAACAGATCTTTATCCCTGCAGATGCTAACGTGGGAGGTTTGTATTTATTATCTATTAATAAAAAATTTTTTTAGCTATTATCATTTTTAAACATTATTTGATATAATTATATATTTCTACTTATATGGCGATATAAAGTCTTATTCAAAATATCACACCATAACAATTAGAAAATTACTTGTATATTGAAGAAGTATGTTATATCCATAATGATTAATTTAAACTAATGATTTGAAGTCTTTAAATCTAAATTTACTGCATAAATGCCTATGTATTAAATAAAGTTTCATAAATGTATGATTGACTTGCTTTAAGTATTATTAACTACTGATTCTTATTGAATGTAATTTTACAAAACCATTAAATACATTATAGCATATTTAAAGAATGAAAATTATAATTTCAGCGAGTTCATCATTGTTAACTCTAATTTTATAGTAAGTTCTATTCATAATAAATAAAAATAAATTATGATTTTAGAGACTATACTAATATTTTTAATTTAACCAATTTTTAATGGTTTTGAACAAATATCTCATATGTTAAAAGTTACACTAATTGTTAAAATTCATCCAAACTTAATCTGTTTTTGAATATATGCATATCTATTGGTTTGAGATTCCAATCATAAAATTTTAAAATAGCCAAGGTTTTGATTAACTATATTAAGTCAAGCCTCAAATTAATCTTATTTTTTAATGACATATATCGGAACTATCTGTCTTAGACTCCGAATAATAAGTATGCATATATTATAAGGTTGTTCGAATTGAATAGAGCAATTTCATTTAATAAATCTATAAAATTTAAAAACATATGATCTCAAAATTAGATTTTTCAGCAGTAATTACAATGGCTGCAATAATGGAATCTAAACAAAAAGAAAATGTGTTAAGAAAGAATAAAATTATGCTGCTTAATCCGTCCCCGAAATTCTCAGAATTAACCGAATGTTTGTGGACACACAAGATATTCAGAATTTACTTTAACAAAGTTGTAAACGTATTTATCAAATTCCAAACATGAGTTAGAACTGAGGAAGGAATTCTATCTAGCCATATTTCCTTTTTGTATTGTCAGATAATCTAATTTCATTAAGAAACAACACAAATATATTTTAATAAATTAGGGCGTTGAAGAATTCTTAGAATAAGCTTTGAAAGAATAGATTAAGGCGTTTAAAGAATCCTTTGAATGTTTACTGTATTTATTGCTTGAATTAGAATTAATTAGGCAAGGTTATAATCAGATGATGTTATTTGTGCTTATTTAGATTAAAAACACCCCAAATCACAAACATCCAATCAAATTTCAAACTATATCTAGATAAGATCTACGATATTAACATTTGATAATGCTATATTTGTCATGCTGGATTTCAGTCCCTGTAATTTGTAGTGCTAGGATTTTGCTAAGTTCGTGGCCATGTAACGTGACTGCGTTGCATGGGTAGCATGATCACGATATCGCATACAGGTTTTGTACGAAGTCCTGACATCCAAAATCTTGATGTCACGCGAAGTGACAATTAAAAATTAAAGTTCTGACATGTGATCAATGTGGTTAAATGTTAATTGTCACGTCGCGTGATGTGCCTGTCGAGATTTTGGATGTCAAGAACCCAGCATACATAAAATTTTAAAGCCTAACGTTGGTTAAGGTAAATCATGGAACCATATAATCTAGTACCTAATCGATTGTCTAGTAATAAAAGGGAAACGGTCCTAAGGTAAAGCGAATTGATTGATTGTTCAACTATAAGCTATATACTAAATGTCTTGCTTTAGGTCGTTGTCGTAAAGTGTTAAAGTGGAAAGACTTATACGGTACACCAGTCATCAAGCGAGTACAATTTCTAGGTGGACTTAACCCAAGACCCCATGTATCATAAACTTATCAGCAAAAACACCTCTTTGTATTTTTATTTTTGTGATATACTTCTTTAGAAAATGTAACGTTACTTTGGTAATTGTGTTAGGAGTCTAGACATTTTTATAATAACGTGATCTTGTTTAACCAATCGGAAACGTAAACTTTGATATAAGAAAAAAAGCAACTGATATTTTAGAACATTAATTGAAAATGGCAGAAATGTAATTTTACATATTAAAGCAAGGATAGGCGAGCACTAACCAAAAATCAAAAACGTAATGCCATGAAATAAAACTTTATATATAAATGAGTAACATCACGTTTATTACAAAGGTGTCTTGATTCCTGGCAAGGTTTTTACAACGTTACAACTATAGGATTATCAGTTCAGTTTGTATTAAACTCATAGGTTATAGTATTAATGTATTTCGTAACAAATTTTTAGGTTATAGTGTATGCGGTTTTATATACGAGAACCAGCCATCGGAGAATTAATGTTACGGAATCTAGTGTAACATATTTACACTTTTTATTCGCATTTTGATAATTAAGCACCAATTACTGTATGTGTAAGTTTACAAAAGAACGTTGTTCCAAAAGATGACTACGATCTTATTTACCAACTTTTTACCAAGTTTATTTAAAATATAAAGTTATTAATGCACAAAATTAACGCATATGACACTCCTTGAGTCACAACATTTTATCATCAGCGTGAATGCCAGTAGGATACTTATAACTTGGTACCAGTTTAACAGAAAAATTAGACCTTTGTGAGATCTTGAATGTAATCAGATGCTGTACTAAAGGATTGTGATAATATTTAAAAATATCAATATGAAATACAGGACATATGCAAATGATTATTACATATCATATGTATGTAAACATGCACTTGCGTACTTACGCAAATGATACAGATCAAAAAGAAATTATCTAATTGGAAACGTTTATCCTGGATCAGTCCGACGTGTACACAAGGTGAAGATCATGAGAATACAAGAAAACGGTGTTAAACCTGCTTTGAAACATTAATCAAAAAATGATTGGAATTAAATTTCACGTATAGAGTGTGGTTATTTATTCCTATGGTTTCTAATTCTAAAGTAGTGCTTGTACCCGTATAAAAGTTACCCGGGTAACCCTCTCAATCAGGTCATAGTTATCGCTAACCGGGTGACCCGATTAATCATCCATGAATGCGATAATGCACATTAACTGTTAAACGTGAAGTAAGTATGTGCATACGCGACTATAGATGTAACTTAAACTATTTGGAACGTCCCAAACCATGTGATAATTAGTATGGTGTTAGTTTCGGCAGCTTTTTTCTTATTACCGAAACCATGTAATACTATTTGACACATGATTTGGGACATCCCAAATAGTTTAGGTCACAACACTATACGAGACACATTTTATACCTAATACTTTATAGGAACTTTTACTAACAGATTAATTCATTTTCTTTTGTATGTGGGGTTCGATTTTTATGATTTTTAACTATTTTGTCGCAAATGAATCTCGAATCTTAAACCCGGCGACTTTACGTGAGAGGGTGTCGTATTAATTCTTTAAAAACCATGTGCAAGTGATTTCAATTTTGCATTAGCCAATCAAATAAACCGGGTTAACCGAGTAACCGTTATTTAAGACGACCCGGTTTGTAATCCGGTTAATAATTTTGTAACAGTTACAACCTTAGTCTTAACCCTAAATCTCTAATTTCACATACTTGATTTATTAGGTTCGAATCATGACGACTAGATTATTATTTTTTGCAGTGTGATGAACTTGAATTTGCTTATTTTCGCGAGTAATAAAAACTCAAAGGGGAATAAAAAGCCTAGTGTGGTCATATAATTTCAAATATTTAATTAGAGTCGGTTTTAATTTAAGGTCAAGACTAGTTAAGTATTATAAGTAAAATTGTTTCCATTTAACCTCCGATATTTTTTTATTAGTGTATCAATTTTTTGTATTTTTCGGGTTTTTTATTTCTTTGCTTCCTCGGACATATCCGAGAAAATAAAAAAACACCCCTGTTTTAGCTTACCTTCAAGAAGGAAATTCCTATAAGATAAACTAATGGTATAAAAACGAAATACCACTTTTATTTGAAATTTCATTCCTGTCACTTTCGATTAGTGCGCCAAGGTCGGTTTGAACATTAGTTCAATATTTTCTCCCACACGTGTCCGAATTCAATAAATTAAGTGGATACGGTGTTTGCTAAATATAGATCTACATCAAAATAGGTAACCTTAAAAAAACGCGGTTTTACCTTTCCGTATATTTATTAAAGTTGTATACTAGTTATGATCTACGTCAATAAACTACTCTATTGTAACCGACCTAAAAAATTTCGCCACATGGTCAAATAAAATTTCAAAAACATACTATAAGATTTTTTTTTGGTTGGTGACGCCAGGGTCTTATACGTCAATACTACAAATTTTCTGCTATGTGTTTAGCCAATTATTACTTTATTTCTCGTATTACTAGTTGTGACATAATGTTTAATGCCAACGATACACAAATTGGAAGGTTCTAATTTAGGGTCCTTGTATGACCTAAAATTAATTTTTTTGACACGCATGTAATGTTGCTGAGTAATTTAGTTGACCAGTATTAGATTTATTTGCCGATCTAATCAGAATATGTCGGAAATAGCCGAAAAATTTAACTAAATTAACTTCACTTGTATTTTAGGTTCGTTTTTTTTCACATTAGAAACCTTAGGGACATCACATTCTTAATAAAAATCTATCAGATAATTGCACAAAAGTAAACTATGAAATTAATTACTTGTTTAAAGATAGAAGTTAGTATTAAAGTATATTAGCTATAAAAAATGTATGTACTGTAAATACATAAGTACGTACAGTACGCTCTCGTTGGACGATCAAAATTTGCAATCACTGATGATTATCTCCTTTTTAGGCGTTAATGAGGAACAATACACAATCTGGGTTTTACTAATTTAGGTACAGTACAGTGCGACTTAAGAAGGCTCAAAATTGATTTCTTTGATACAACTATAATTTCATAATATGTATCATGTCAAGAACAAAAGTTTGCAATAAAAGTTGATTATTATATTTCTAAAATTTAGTAATCAAAATTATCCAATCAAATTCTGAACTTTCTTCGCGCTGACTTATAAAATATTTATTCTCTTCCTTTTATCTTAAAATTATAATAATACAAATGTTTACAAGTAATTAACAATCTTACATTTGACATACATATGTTTAACAAAGAACAAATAAAGAAAATAAAAAAAAATCCGAAGGTTTCAGTGCAAGATAGTAAAAAAAAAAGAATAATATACATCATACTACTCCAGGTAGTATCATTCACAAAAATTTTTATCAATAATTTCTTCAAAGAGCAAGTTAGCTTTTTCTTCTTCGCTAATTGCATTAATATTGCCTTCAGTCATATCAAAATTTTGGTTATTTGTGGTTTGTTCGCCTGTAGCATTACTATTGCCACCGATTAGATCGAACCCTGGTGTAAACACAACTTGTTCGTCTGAAATTAATGGGCATCCATTAAAGAAATTCGAAATGTGGATGGCAGTGTTAACTGATGCAATGTCAGTTGATGTGTTTTTCACTTTTTTTGGATCATAAAATTTGAATTTAAGGGGTAAATCCTTTTGACGGCATGAATTCACTTCTATAGTATATCTTTCGATAAATTCTTCAAAGTTTGCATCTCTTCTGCTCCAATTATACAAAGTTATGTCGGATATTTCATTACTGCTATCCGGAAGAAGGTTTGCTAAGCGTAAATTATATTCTACAAGCTTTATAAATATTTTATATTGATCTAAATAAGAATACGTTTTGTTCTTGTTAGGCTTAAACATCAAAGCTACATATTCAGGAATTGGTACTATGAGTCCTTGAAATGTAATCATTTTGAATGTCAAAGGGTTCTAAAAATTTTTATGATAAACTGATACGATTTATATCATTTTCTGATGTGACATAATGAAGGTGTTCACAAAGTGGGAATTACTATACTAGTAATGTGCAACTTTCTTTTATAGCACTAGCACGTGAATTTAACCCCCACGTTTCAAAAAACAAGAGGTTGTTAATTAATATTTGAAGACATTTATTTGAAAACCATACAATTTTAATTTTAATAAAATAAATGCAAGTTAACAGCAATCTGATTCGATTTGATACTATGACTATAAATGATTGTACATCTTGGTATTGACATAGTTTTATTGATTATTTTAGGTTATTAGTTTGATTACGTTAAAAAGTGTAGTTTAAATAATCTAAGAGGATAAAATTAAAATCTGAAAGATTCATAAAATTTAAGTGAAATTTCATAACGTTCAGTCGGTCAGATATTTATAAAATTCTTATCATTCTGGTTTAAAATATTCCGCAAGTTAAAGGATTCATTTGAATATACAAACTCCGTCCGGAACGTAAAATAATAGTCCCAATTTGTATAAATTTTGAAACAGGTACACTAAAGTTTAAACTGAGTTGTGTTGTGCAAGTTTTAAAAAGGAGAAGTTAACAAAGGCTATGTACATTGGCGGCATATGAATTTCCAAATTTGATCATACTCAGTAAGATAAAGAAAAATTTTCTTTTTAAGGAAAATAGAATGCTGCATTGAATGTTAATAAATAATATTTATTAGATGTATGACTTTTTCTGTACAACATAATTCAATAATAACTGTCAGTTTCAAATCATTCGGTTTTTTAAAGTTAACAATCAATAAAGTTTGAACCATTAATTAAAAATGGTTAAAAACCCGAGTAAAAATTAATAAACTTATTTCATTGAGTTCGAATTTTAGCTTTCTATAATATTTATTGTGGTTTTCAAAGAACATAATAGGATTCTACAATACGGGTTCGTGTAAATGCACACCAAAAGCATGAGCATAGATAGACAGACACAAAAATTCAGGTATGGACAGAAGGAAAAATTCTTGGAACTGGCACAAGCATAAAAAAATTTACAATTTAATCGGCTAATCGATGTAAATCTCCTAAAATGGGTCGCTAAAATTTCAGAAAAGAAGCACCTTCTTTGCACGTAATGCAGGTCACATTTATTGTAAAGTTGTCATAGTGTAGGCTAGGGGTGTTAATTTTCGAAGAAATATAGTAGTAGTTTACAAGAAAAATTCCGGAAAGCAATTTAATGATAACAATAATGATTGTCCTATTATGACTTCAACCAGTTCTACCAATTTAGATACACTGCCAAATAAGGAAATCTGAAAGAGGTGGCGATCATTTTACTTAATCGACATCACTTAGGGTGACAATTTAGTATTTTATTAGTTTTAGAATATATAATCTATAAATTGCACATTATGTGATGTCAATTAAAATTACGTACGTACGTGGTTCTAGCGATGTTAATAATCTAGCAATCAAGTGTTGAACTTTTCTAGAGAAAAAAGTAATTTTTGGGAAATATCTCAACATAAAATTTATTATAATTTTACTTTTCACAAATATTGCTCTTTAATCGAATATATTACTGCAATTATAATGATTTTTCTGGGACAGAAAAAGATTGACGTGTGATGGGCAACGCGCGAGATCCGCGCATGATTCCGTGCGTAATTCAAAAGATTCCCACGCGGGACTTTTAATATGGTATTATTTGGTCTGCATTAGCTTATTCGGGGGTTTGCATATCAAGTTGACAGTCAAATTCATGCAAACTGATAGTCAACTTGTATAAATTGATAGTCAAATTTGTATATAACCTTTTTAATTCAATCACAAGATCTTATAACCTAATGATTTAACTTATATAAATTTGATATTATTTAACTCATCAAACTAAGATGAATTGAATAGTATTAAAATTATATAATCTAGATTATTAACTTTCAAACAAGTTAACTACTACATACTCATCTGTATTGATTCTAAATATCCTTATCTTCAATTTACTGAATCACCTAAAGAAAAAGAAAAAGAAACAAATACAACTCAACAAACTAATATTAAACAATTTCTGCACAACACATCTGCACTTACAAATACTTTTTTAATAAATCATATCAAAATTTTCTAAAAAAGATAATAAATCATAAAATTAATTCTACCTTGATTCATCTATTTTTTATATCAAAAGTAAATATAAAGTTATATTTCTAAAACACATTTCTATTATAATTCTTGATGAACTTGCAACAAAAACAAAAGAATATACTTGTTTTGTAAATTCTATTAAAACTAATTCTAAATGTCAAGGTTTTTATTTCTACTAATATTTATCAATCTATCAAATTATCACTGTTGAAAATTACAATATAGACAAAATGAACAAACAAGAAGTTATTAATTTCTTATTATAAAACTCATTGATACTAACTTTTTTGCATGAGTAATCATATACTTTAATTATATTCATGACAACTCATATAATTACTCAGAAATTATTAAATTTTATAAGAAAAAATTATTTTTGTAATAGAAACAATTTTTTTTTCTATTTTAAAGCAACAATCTTGCTCATATATCTTTTATTAAGTAATATATGATTACATGTAATATATATAGTCTATTAACAAAAGTATACTAGTTACACATATAACTTTAATTATTATTTATTTTAAGGTTCCACCTATAGGTTATTCACTAGATGTCATATCTGAGACCCACCTATAAGTTCTCTATTTAAACTTTTTGAATTTTAATACTATTTTTGTATATATATTCAATACTTATATTACCATTATAGTGATATATGGGTTAGGGTTATCTTAGTTACTATTTATATCAAAATACCACCTCATTGGATGTTACTAAGTATCTATATTTTTTCAAATTTATTCTTAATATAAGCTTACTAAACTGGTACCAAGATTACTACTTAGATCCAATTTAGTATATCCTGTATTTATTAAACTGATTTTAATGTTAGAAGTGTTCAAATTATAGTAAGTTTATTTCTTTTCTGTAGTTTTCTTTTATGTTTACTATATCACCTACTAGTGCAACTTTTTTTCATTTCTGGTATGTTTATCACATCTCTTATATCGAGCACCAACTCTCTATATTGTAAAACTTCTTTTCAAAAACTTCCTTATATACTAATCTTTTATTCACATAAACTTAATCACAGAGTTTCACATATTTTCATATACTTTTATAGATTACAGAGTTTTTGTTTCTAGCTAGAATTAAACCATTGACCTTGTCTATAAAAAGAAGAATGTCTAGACCATTAGACTATATATTCATCTATTTTTATATTTGATTTAAATACATATTCAATTATTAATTATACTATGTTGTATTATAGTTTATATTCTTTGAATTATGGTTTTAAAGTTTTTATATAAAAATAAATTTGCATTGATATAGTAAGAAACTTAATTAAGTTTTAAATTTGTAAATTTATTTAAATATTTAAATTTGAAATTAGATATTAATTTTTTTTTATTTTTTTTTATTTTATTTTTTTATTATATAATATTAAGTAGAAAAAATAGTAATATATAAATATATCAATTGGATAAATAAAATATTTCTAAACTACATTATTGTTACTATATATATAATAATACCTAGTATGATATTAACCTTTAATTTTCTGTTTTAGCTAAATCAATTATCATAATTATTAACTACAATAGAGAATAAAAGGAATTCTTAAGATTATTTTAATTAATAAAAGCAGATATATATAGTAAAATTTTGAGAAAGAGTTTTAAAAATAAATTGGTCTATATAAGTATTGAATGCAAATGTATTGTTATTAAAGTTAGAAGGTTGTAAAATAGAGAATTAAACATTGTTTTTTCTTTTAGTAAGAATAGTAATACCTTATACTAATTTTTATTTATGTTGTTTAATATTATGGATTTGCCAGATAGTAAGGTCAAATCAGTTGAGTAGACAGTTAAATAAAGAAATAAGAAAGTTGTTAGTTAGTTTTTTTAGAATTAGTTGAAGTTGTTTATATTGGTCAAGTGTTATTATGTTTTGAATAAATAGAAATATTGTATTATATATAGTAGAGTTTGAAGAAAAATTTTGTAAGTTGAAGATTTGAATTATTGTGTGTAGTGAAGCTTCAGAAAAGTTTAAAAAACTTAAAATATTGGTAGTTTTATTAATGAAAATGTTTTGTGGATTGTAAGTATAAAGTAAGCATTGAAGTAAATATTTAGTATTTTCATATTGGTTACAATAGGAGCAATTTGAAGTTAAGTAGAGTAGAGAATAGTGAATATTTAAATTTAATATTGTTGGCAAGTTATTAAGAAGAATTTTATTTCTAATTGAATAAATTTTCAAATTAGAATTTTGGGAATTAATAATTTTAGTAAATAGTAGAATGTTTATAGCAGAAAGATTTTGTATTAGTTTAAGTTAAAGAAGTTTGTTAAATGTTTGAATAGAAAAAAGGTTTTTGCAAAATTTATGAAGTTTGTATATAATTGATATTTCTTTCCAAATAAAGAAGGTAGGTAAATAAATATAGTTGAGATTATATTTTAGTTCTGTTTTTTTAGTATTTTGTTTAGCTAAGACATTAGCAATATTATGTAAAGTGTTATTTGAATATGATTTAACTTTGTGCATAATATAATTTATATTTTTTTAAGTTTGGTTAGATGGAATTAGATTTTATTTTATAGTTTTAATTTATATATTTATTTAATTTATTTTATGTTATTATAATTTAATAATAAATATTTATAAATAATTATAAATTATTATAATTTTAATACTATATAGTATCTAAATTATTATAAATTTGACATTAATTAGTTAATAAATTATTATAATTTTATTATTATATTAATACCAAATTGTATATATATATATATATATATTAACTTAAGCTGTCATACTAGTACTTTATTAGAATTTTTGAAACTTTACAAATTACAAAAAATATTTTTAATAGCTAAGTCTAGCATTATCTGGCTACATTATTGGTATCTAAGTGTAATCTGCTATACTATCTTAAACAGAGGTAGACTACTTATCTGACCACCACTCTATAATAAAATACCACCAACCAATAATATTTTTTTATAAAGAAACATAAAAACAAAAAAAAGGATTTTATATGTAAAAAAAAAACAAATATATGGATAAACAATAAAAGATACAAAACAAGAAATAAAAGGGAAAAAGAAGATAAATGAAAAAAAAGAAAGCGTAAAATCTTCAATTTACAAAATCAAATAATCATAATTTTAAGCTTGTATTAGATATAAAATTTGCAATTTACAAATATTAGATAATTATAATTTCTGGAGCAGAGCAGAAGAACTTAAGTCTGGACAATAGGTAAGAAAAATTTCGTATGGGTCAACTTCAGTTCAAAATGCAATAACTGATAAGCAAAATTTAACTAGCACATCATCAATAATCAACAAGTAACTAATTTAGCAATATACTTAGACATAATATTTACTTTTATGAATATAACATATTATTCTTTCAAATTGATATATACAATTCATACATAATTTTTATTTTCTACAGTTAAAAAAAAAATAAAAACAAAAATTCAAGGCATTCAGTATTATGTAGTTAGTCGCTTATAGTAATAATAATAATAATAATAAAATTAGCAGGCATCACAACTAGCGATGGCATAAGTCAACTTTTTCATATATCAAAACATCATACAGAGACGTTAAATCTGACATATATTTATTATAATAAAGCCACTTAATAAATCAGTTAAATAAGTTGATTAATATTCTTGCTTTTAAATTATGGAAGTAAATAGTAATAAATGTAATTGTTCTAAGTAAAAATAAGCATAATGATAATGTTAGTAATCTGTTTTGCATAAAATGAAAAATAAAACAAAATACACTTTAATGAAACCAACTTTCCCAATAAATTACACAATAATTGATAATAATCCGAGTACAAATAGTTGTTAATTTTCGCTCTTAAAATTAGTGTTTCTTATTAACTTTCACTCTTAAAATGAACGTTGAAACTGCTGATATAAATGATTAAAATAAACATGATCGAAATCCAAAATGAACGAGAGAAGATACTGAAACTGCTGAGGAGCGAGAAATATATCTCGAACATAGACACAACCAATGGAAAAAAAGGAGAGATGCAGAAACAGCTGAAGAGTGAGAAATATGCTTTGCACATAGATGCAGCCAATGGAAAAAAAAAGAGATGCAGAAACTATCGAAGAGCGAGAAATGGGTATTGAATGTAAATGCAATAAAAGGCAAAAGAAAATAAATACAGAAACTGTCGAGGAACGAGAAAAACGTCTCGCACGTGATCGTAACTGAAAATACAAAGGAAAGAATGTTGAAATACTTGAGAAACAAGAAACTCATATTGAGAATAACCATGAATCAGAACTTTCAGAATCTGATAAAAAACTTTTAAATACTTTTTATAAAATAATAGTGAAAACTAGAAATGAGTATTGCCTGACTTGTGAAGAACATTTTCTCTCTATAATTCTCTATCAAGGTGAATGCCAACGATGCTATAAAGAAAAGGCCCCAAAAAAATTTTCAATTGAAAATAACATGAATCCAGGTTAAATTATATAAATTCTACTAAAAAGAATAAAAAAATAAAAAAAGAAAAATAAAACAAGCTTATATATAAACTTAATTTAGGTGATATACCTCAGGAGCTCCAGAATCTTACTAATATCGAAGATATGTTGATCGTACAGGTTTTTCCTGTAGTATCAGTTTATAATCTTTGTGGAGGACAGTATGCATATTGGGGAAATGTTATCAATTTTTTCCAAGATATACAAAGCTTTATAACTCGCCTTCCACATCATCCTTCATTGTTAAATATGCTTATTGTATGACAGTCATCTTTTAATGAATCAAAATTTCAAGATTTTCAAGTTTGACGAGATAAAGTATATCATGCTCTCTGTTGGCTGAAGATTAATAATCCCTTTTATCACAATATTGATATTGATGAGAATATACTTCAATTGTTACCTGAAAATGGCTCGATAATTGAACAATTCCCGCAGATTTCAAATAATGATAATTTAAATGATGAAAAAGAATTGCATGAAGACAATGAGACCATGAAGATAATGTAATTTCACATATCTTTGTTCCTATTCCACATCCTATATGTCATGAAGACAAAGCAATTGATAAGGCTCTGAGTAACTTACAAAATAAATATCAGCCTCCAGTAATTGAATGGCCCAATATCGAACATATACCAATTGATAAATTTAATACCCCAGAATATATAGCATGTGCTTTCTCTGCACTTTATCCTTATGGTATTGCTGATTTACATTCACCCAGAATCAAAAAGGTCCAGCTAGCCGAGTATTTTCAACATCTCTTGAAATATAAAGATGGTTGCTTTGCACATCATCCACGTTGACATTATTTGGCTTTAAATTCATTAATGCGATGGCAAGCATTACAATGTGGGCAGGTATATGTCAAGCAGAACTTAGAAGACGGTCAACTCATGGCTGAAGAGATTCAAGAGTTATTGCAATCTAATACTAATATAACAAATCATGTAATATGATATGGTAAAGCATTACATGGTACCCATCAATATTGGGCACGACGAAGTTGTGAATTATCAGACATGATATGCCAGTTAGAATCTCAAGGGATGGTATTTTTTACCTTTATTTCTGCTGACCTACAATGGCCTGAATTACATGATCTCATGCCAAATAGTGAAAATCCAGTAGATGGTGAAAGTGACAAGGAGGCTGCTAAATGTTGATACCACGATCTAATTAATAATCCACATATAGCTGCATGGTTTTTTAATAAAAGGTTTGATGTGTTTTTTGAAAAAGTCTTAGTTCCAAAGTGGAATTTAATAGATTGGTGGTTCTGCTTTGAGTGGCAGCACCGAGGTAGTGCACATATTCATAGAATTGGAATTAGAGGTGATGCTTTAAATGCTAAATTGAACAAAATTAAAGCTGATGAAAATTTAATGCAAGATATTTTGCAATATATAGATACCTTAATTACTACTATCAATCTGGATATAAATGCACCAATACCAAATAAACATCCATGTCAAAAACGTATGGAATACTGTAAAGCTGATTTACAAGACTATGTTGAATTAGTCAACAAACTTCAAAGACATATGCGATGCAGTACATTACATTGTTTAAAAACCAATATACAAACGGGACAACAAATTTGTAGGTTTGGGTTTCCCAAAGAATTG